AGCCCCATTCGTCACAGTACGGCTGCATTGTAGATTTAATATGAAATAAAGCAAACTATCACACCCTGCTCTGTCACATAAATTCTCCTCCGTCTCAGTTTCTTTTTTCCAGCTGCTCCCTGGCCCACTGTAGATGTAGACTACATTAGGAAGCCCATTCATATCCAGCCACCAGCAGTTGGCTGTAATTTGTTTCGGCTAGGGGGGCAGAGTGTAATTTACATGTGAAAGGCCATGGCGCATTCAAATATTGTAACTTTGGTTTTTGTCCCAGGGTTACTGATACCAGCTTCACAGAATTCAGATTAAAGGTTTACTGCTTTTGTGCCAGACTGCAGAAGTCGTGTAATGTCTCAGTTGGCCTCAGCCCAACGTTAAAGAGGAGACAGGAGAGCAGGACTCTCCTCGTCTTGCTGACCCATTAGGAACTGATCATTTCTGGCTTTTTGCTATAGTGAGATCCCTCACGGGAACAATCTGGCCTGTAAAGAATGCTTTCAGTGGAGCCATACTAAGCTAGGTCACTGAATATGTATGTCCCTCATCCAATCTTTTATAAATCAAAATGTTGTTTCCATTCTACGTAAGTGTAAATATACATTTCTGACATGATAACCTTAAGGCTGAACTTTTAAAGATTTAATGAAGCCAGGACCAGATGTCTCTTTCTGCTCACACATTTTTTAAAACTTCTTTTTTTAGCTTAACCCCACAATATTACACTCCTCTGTTTATGGGATTATTTGCCTTCAAATGATGACTTCCATAACTCAAATACCTTTACCCACTACTTCTTTTATATACTTTTTTTTTTTTTACATTGGTTGGACTTTCCAACTGCACTATTTGTTTTTGTTTGTGTCCATTTAAACCCAAAGGCATCTTAGATATCATCACCACTATTTATATGTATCCTTACCTGACAAAAAGACAGTGAGAAAGAGAATGTGAGCAACAATTAATGTGCATGCATGCGTGCATGTGCATGTGTTTAAGATGAATGTGCAGAGTGCATGGTTACAGGTGGAAGTATACTCCAAAAAGAAAATGCCCGCTGAAAGCCCTCTGAATTCAACAGTTTGTTAGATACTTTATGCTTTTATACACAGGAGGTGTAATGGTGGGCTTCCCCGTCCTCAACATGTACCCATATTCTTACTTCCACACTGTCTGCATTATCAGTGATGAAGACCTGGTGACCTGCCTAAAAATAGTTCCAGCAGAGAAAGACTGAAATAAAAAGTGAAAAAGTGAAATACATATATATATATACGTTAACAATGGCCAGGATACATCGCCTCAGTGTTTCACAGACAGAATCTCCCTGTTTGACATTTTCATGTGAACCCCGTTAATGTTCAGCGCAGACCAGGGGAGGAAATCCAGTCTCTCTGCTCTCTACACCAGTGATATTCAGTCATTTTCATATGGTTTCATTTGAATTTACAAACAGGTAAAACAGGCTATAGCTATACCTCGACAGCTTTTAATCACAAGGAAGTAAATGAGATGCTCAAACAAATTCAGACACTCTAAGTGCATTTTGTTATGCAGCATTTTATTTTCATTCATTCATCACCATAAAAATATCTTAATAAACACAGTAGATTGTGTCATTAAATCAGTTCCTGTTATTGTAAAACAGTCTCTTCCTGTATTTTAGTTTAGGCCAACTCTACCAGAAGTTCAAATTAAAGAGCCAAAAAAAAGTGATTTGACTTACAGATATCTGGTTTAAGTTTCAGAATAAAGTTGTTTATAAGTACAAGTTCTGAAGTATAAGTTCTGATTTCGGACTCATTTCTGATGTTTATGGCCACCTCAACCTGGTTCTTCAGAAAAAGGCAAAAGGAGCTTGATGGAAATTTGTGTCTGCCTTGGGCCCCTAATGGTTTGGGCAGAGTTGCATATCTGCCACATTTGATTGTACATCCAGGTTTAAATGCACTCACCCTACTTTAATTACCAGCATCTCTCAACACCCCCAAATGTTGTAAGAAAATATATAAACATCTAAACTTCCCTACAAACATTGTTTGATGATACGTTGCACGACATTGTTCAGTTTGAGTATACCGCTGCCCGAATTGAATGCTTGCATTATGGAAGGTTGCTGTGAGCTACGTACACCCCTCAGCCACAACATTAAAGCTACTGACAGGAGAAAGAAATATCAATACTTCAGTTTCGGGAAAATGCGTCTCCTTTTGCTTTTATGCAGATCTTACTTAAATATATGCCACCAACTGTCCACTTGTACCAAGCAGAGCCCATATGGCAATGGCAGCAGCATTTCCCAGCAGAACGCTGACCTCTGCCGCAGCCTAAAAATGAACAGGAATTAAAGTTAGGACCGAGAACCCCAAGTATTGACCTAGCTTCAAGCTTCCGAGATCCTAATCCAACTAATTATCCCCAGGAACGTCAGAACAAGCCGAATACAAAAAGGCCACAACCCATAACCCACAGGATCCAAATGATCAGCTGCCAACATCCCAGTGCCTGGCACAGCAGACACCCCCAGAGGTCCTGTGGACCCGTTTTGGCAGTATGATGGGGGCTGACACAATATTAGGCAGGCGGTGGTTTTAATGTTGTGGTTGATTGGGGTATGTGTGTGTGCTGAATGAAAAGGGTGTATGTTATGCACCTGCATGTAATGCGCTGTGGGTGAAAGTGTGTGTGTGTGTGTGTGTGTGTGTGTGTGTGTGTGTGTG